TTAAGACTCATGCATATGTAGAACCTATAAACAGTTTATAAGAACTGATCTTATGACACATGATGAAATGAACAGATACTTTGAAAAAAAGGAGACACTAAAGTACCTAGTGCTGATCCTGGAGTATCATAATGTGACACCCAGCAATAGTATTATTCTTTGTTCAGAGTGATATTACCTGCTTGGGTTTGTTCAATCTCAACATAATTGAAGATATGGATAACTGCATGTATGTTTAAGTGTATAGGATTGATAATCACATTTCTAAGTTTTTGTTGGATAGTTGAACACAACTGGTTGCAGTCTCACTGTTCCACTTTTGTATCTTGAACAACACATTGCAAACGTATTTCAAGTTTTGTTAATCTATCTCTAGTTTCTTCCAGATAATCTTGCCAGCTTTCAGTGGAGTTTTTAATTTCCTGCTAATCTCTTTGAATCTGTTTCACGTATTCTAGTTTATATATATATATATATTCTTCATCTGCATATCATTTACTTTTCCTATGTTTGGGAAGTTTTCCTTAACTATTTCTGTGAATAGCCTTTGTAGTTCCTTTGTTTGTACCCTGCTTCTTCATTCATGTTTTTTATTCTTAAGTTATACATCCTCTTGTCATCATCTCACTTTTGTATTGTTACTGCTTGCTTCTTTGTTATTTTTAAAAAGTTTTTCCTTTCATAATCCCACATTGCAAACCTGTCCTCCAGTTTGGATCACCTATCCTTAGTTTCTTTCAAGCAGCTTTGTCATCTTTCCATAGAGTTTTTAATTTCCTAGTAATCTCTTTGAATCTGCTTCATGTATTCTATATTTTCTTTATATTCTTCGTCAAATGGTTCTCTCCTTTGTTTGAGTTCCTCCATTCTTCCGGCTGTGTCTTCTTGAGGGGTTCTTAGCATCTCTTTTATTAATCTTCTTATATCTTGCTTTACTTGGCTAAATGTTTCACTTTTTGAACTCATCTATGAGGTCCCCAAGATATCTCTTTATGTCCACTGATGCCGTGTCTGATATTGCATGTTTGCTGTTCTCCTTTGTATTCTCCTTTGTATTTACTTGTCCTGGGTCAGTGTTCTCAGGGTTGGGACCTGGGGACTTTTTGTTGTTGCTTCCTCTTCCCATCTTTTTTGTTTCTTCCAGGAGGCCCCAGTTTCTTTCTTTGTTGGTTACAATTCATCTGAAACACATTGGCTAGGTGACCTTTCCCACTGCAATGTGCTAGTGAGTTGCAAACAGGGGAAGCGTATGCTGGCCCCTCCCCTCCAGATCAGTCAACCTGCTGAGGCCTTCACTGTGTTAATGTGTGCCACCGTGGTAGGGAATTGATTTCAGATAATCTATTGGGTCTCAGCTAGGTCACATGACCCAGGCCAAGCTCACTCCACCAATCCCGTTCAGAGGGAACAACTGACTGAAGTCACTGCTGCCCCTTGTTCCTGCCAGTCCTGCCTGGTTCCAGAATGTTGTCTGTTAGAGCCCCCTTCTCTGTGGAATGGTTTTATTCCCGTCACTCACCACAGGTCGATGCAGGTTCCCTGCTAGCTCAGCTCTCTGTTCGGCTGGCTGACCCCTGACCTCAGTGTGACTGCTCCTCCAGTGAGTCAAAGTGATGGGATTTCAGACAGCTTGGTAAGTCACCACCAGTCAGGTTTGAGTGCTGCAGTGGAAGCACTGAACCTTTAGCTGTTCCAATAGTAGTACCAGGACTGTATGTTTGATTGGTTCTTCTCACCTTAATTTCTTCTTGGGATGAGAGAATTCATCTCCCTCTGTTCGAGACTCCCCATGCTGTATTATGTTGAATTCTAAGTTGACTATTTCAGGGAGCCTGTATAGCCTGCTGTAACCTATCTGCCATCTTTGCTCCACTCCAGACAAATTTCTCGACACAAACCATCAAATCAAGAAGAGCTTGAAGTGAAGTATTCCAAGCTATGAAAGAAAATAACTTCCAACCCAGATTGATGTACCCTGCAAAACTGTTTCGAAATTAATGGAGAAACAAGATGCTTCCATGACAAAGAGGAGCTGGGGTAGTTTGTGACCATCAATCCAACCCTATAAAAAATACTGAAGGACATTCTAGAGAGGGAGAAAAAGAACACCAGAATTTCAGGAACAGTGGCAGAGAGGCCTCAGTGAATGGGGGAGACAGTGGAATGAAGGAAAAAAGTAGAAAATTAATGACAAAAAATAGCATAGATGAAATGAGGCAGAGAAGATTGGCTAAAATCTCTAACATAGATGGCCTTAACACACTAACAAAAAGAACACAAGCAGAGTAGATCAGGAGATAGGGTCCATCGAGATGCTCTGTATAGAAAATATAATTAACCTGAAAGAGGGCTTATGGACTGAAAGTCAAATATGAGAAATCAATGCTCTATGTGACTGAGAACTGGAGAGAAAAAAGGGCAGCTCTTCCAGCACCTGCAGATAGGTTGGAAAGACATGACACTTTTGTGCAGTGGAGAATTAATCAGCTATAATGAAGGAAAACCGTGAGGCTTTTGTAGGTAAAGGAATACAACTTAAGATCAAGTCCAGGGGTAAGAAGGTTCAGAACCACTTAGGTAAATAGTGGATTGCACTCCTAACCTAAAAAACTAAAGGAGTTAATGGGACCCAAAATGTACAATGCACCCTGTGAAAGTGAAAGGGGAGGAATTATCTAAAAAAGGAAGGCAGAGGACATTGTTAATTGTGTATCAGGATTTAAAATTCACATAATTCTTATTGCTCTATTTAGTTTGGCTTCTTCTGCTTGACCTGAGAGCACAGATAGCTATTCCAAAAATAGCAGAATATACTATGGTGACCATCCTTAATTTCCTATTAATCTGAAGCTCTGTCTCACTTACACTGTTTTATCATGACTGATCTTAATTGAATCTGGTTTGTTAGATCGCTGGTTTGTATTGACTGATTTTATTTGAATCTGTTATGATTGGTAGTATCAAGCCTGAGAGTATAGGCAAATACTCTGAAGACAACAAGATTCACTAGAATACCCACTCTGGCTTGACTATTACCTGCTTTTGAAGTCTTATAATGTCTCCAATATTTTGTTTTTATTAATAGTGTTATGTATTGCTATGTTCAATTATACTATGCCTGATGATATAGACAATTCTATTGAAGATAACAAGAGACACCATAGTAACCACTGTAGATCACCTTGTATTGTGGTTTTATATGACTTTCATTTCATATTTTTCTAGGAATTTGTTTTGTTTTATCTTGTTTTTCCCTCTAACACAGAAAGGGTAGTTAGACATGTAGATTCATGCATGTATAGAACTTCTAAGCAGTTTATGAGAACTGATTATATAATGCATGATGAAATAAACAACTACTTTGAACAAAAAGAGACACTACCCTGTGCTGATTCTGTAGTGTCATGAGATGAAACCCAGCAATACTGTTGTTCTTTGTTCAGAGTGATTTTAGTCTGTTTTGTATTGTTTAATCTCAACATTTGTGAAGGTATAAACAGCTATTTTGAAGAGAATGACAGATATTATGACAGCCATTGTTGACTTCCTTATTGTCTGGTCTTAAAGACCTAAAATGCCTTCATCATCCTGTTTGGATCAGTTTTATACTATGTTGTTTTGTATGAATTCACTGTATATGAAGATATGGACAACTATTTGGAAGAAAACAGACAATATGATAGATAGTGAAGATCTCCAGTTGTCTGGCTTTGAAATCTGTGTGTCTAACATTGTGTTCTGTTTTGTTCTGTTTACTTTTACCTTCTTTAAAATAAAAAAAAGGTTACTCTTTAGGAGGAAAGCAATTTAATAAATTCATCACACAGTGACAACATTCTTTAAGTATAAACTCACTTTAAAAAAGTAACAACTAAGACAGTGCACTGACACGTATCTATACTAGTCAGCATTCAGGAAGCCGAGGCAGGAGTGCCACAAGTAAGAGGCCAACATGGAAGACATAGTTCAAGACTAGCCTGGACTACATAGTGAGAGCTATGTCCAAAAGCACCCTAAAAACAAAAAACCCAAGTAAGTATTTTTCTTACATCTAGTGACTTAAAAATTTTAAAAAGGTAAAAAAAAAGACTGAATTTGTGACAAAGGCAAAAATATGTTATTTAGAATTACTATTTTTGGGTTGGAGGATATCGGGAATCAAACTCATAACTTTGGGCTTGCCAGACATGCTGTGACACTAAGCTATATCCCCAGGCCTTAGAACTACTAAATTAAAACCAAAGTCAAAAAGTTTACAAATTGTAGTTTTAACTTTTTCTTTCTTTCTTTTTAAGACAAAGTGTCACTATGTACTGCATACTTGCTTGAACTTGCTTTGTAGCCCAGGCTGGCCTCAAACTCTCAAGGATCCTCTTGCCTCAGCCTCCTAAGTGCCGGGATTACAGGCATACACCACCCTGGCTGGCAGTCTTCACATTTTCAATGCTGAGTTAAATGATGGGTTAATTTGAGCTATATCAAAACAGAGAGCTTCCACCGAATTATCAAATTTATTCTTAATCATTGTGACCTAGAATAAAAACTAGGAAAGTGCTTTTACAATCAAAATGGGCTCAGAGACCTTGACAAGCACCATTTTATCGTATTTTTTTAAAATTGCGCCGAGGTGGGGGTGCACTGGTTTCTAACCAGTTGCCTCCACACTTCAAGAAGGCTCTGCGAACCTCCAGGGTCCTGCCAGGCCTGTCTGCGGGCATCCTCTGGGTTATCCTAGACCAGGGGATATTTCCAGAAGTAAAGCACACTCTTCAGATCACATAAGCTGTCCCTGGGCCGTTTGCAAAGACCGTTTGCAGAGGTCGTGCAGTGCAGGCATAGATCATCGCACTCCAGCTAGGGAAGCGCTGTCTACCAAAAGCAGGTCATCTCAGAAAACTAGGCCAGCCGGGGCGGGTCCGAGCCAGTGCACGCCCCCGGCTGCGCGCGCATCCTGCGCCTCGCGTCACGTGACCCGACGGGCGCGCAGGGCACGTGCCCGCCCGCGCCACTTCAGACGCAGCGGCGCGCCGTTCAGGTTCCGGGGCGCCGCCGAGCTCGGCGGAAGGCCGAGCTGGACGGCCGGGATGGAGGAGGCCGGGGCGGCGGGGGCCACGGCCGGAGAGGCCGAGCTAAACTGGTCCCGCCTCAGCGTGTCCCCCGAGACGCTGGAGTCCGAGCTGGAGGCGCGTGGCGAGGAACGGCGCGGCTCGCGGGAGGCCCTGCTGCGGCTCCTGCTGCCCCATAACCGTCTGGTGTCGCTGCCGCGGGCGCTGGGCAGCGGCTTCCCGCACCTCCAGCTGCTAGATGTGAGTGGCAACGCCTTGACGGCGCTAGGACCCGAGCTGCTGGCGCTGAGCGGCCTGCGCACGCTGCTGGCCAGGAACAACCGACTCGGCGGGCCGGGCGCGCTGCCCAAAGGCCTGGCCCAGTCGCCGCTCAGCCGCAGTCTCCAGGTGCTCAATCTCAGCGGCAACTGTTTCCAGGAGGTGCCCGCTTCATTGCTGGGGCTGCGAGCGCTGCACACTCTCAGCCTGGGCGGCAACCAGCTACAGAGCATCCCGGCCGAGATCGAGAACTTGCAGAGGTGAGTGCTTCTGCGCACGGGGGGGGGGGGGGGGGTGTTGAGCCATGCGCTTTCCCAGCTTGTAGGTAAAGTAGCTTGTAGATACTGGCAAAGGTAAGCACTCATTAAGTGTATGTTGATTGAATGCTGAGGCTCTGTGTTTGTGTGGTTGCTTTTGCCTGGAGGGGAGAGAGAGGGAGAGAGAGAGTATGTTTTCATTTGTTTTGGTTTTTTAACCTGGCAAACTCCTGTTCTTTAAAATGCTTACTAAGGATTCTTTTCTACTTCCCAGACAGTTAATTATTGCTTAGCTGCATTTATCTTAATTGATTTTAATTACTCATTTAAAGGAACTCTCTGTGCCTCAGTTGTACATACAACTAGTTGTACATACAACTAGTACATGTATATTGAATGTAATGGAAAGAAATAGAGAAACAGGATAATATTAAGTATCCTAAAGGTGCATTACAGCAGAGTAAGAAGTAGAACCTCTGTATTTTCAGTTTCTAAATTTCCGAAGAACAATGAGACAGCTGGAGTGAATGTCAAGAGTTAAGTGTAAAGAACTTTGGCCTGGAAATGAGAACTCTTGGTGTCCAGGCCTTAGGCAAGTCACTTGACATATCCTAACCAGAGCTTTCTAATTTGCAAAATGAGGCATTTGAACAAAATGTCCCTGCATTTACTTCTTAGGGGTATTTGTTGAGTATTTGTCATGTATGAGGCACATGACAAGGTTCTGGGGATATGATGAGGAACAGGATTCCACCCTCATGGAGGGTACTATCAGAGGAGACATTCAACAACTAATTATAAGCTTCATTATTTAATTACAGTGCTTATAGCATCTGTGAAGATGAACAGTACTGTATGTTTCAAAACAAAATAACAGAGAGACCTGATCTTTTCTGGTTCTTGAGCCAGCTTTTGAAAGAAGAGAACAAATTAACTAGGGTGCAAGGACAGGTGGATCAGTCCAAGTAGAAGGAGCAACAAGTAGAGCGGAAGAAACTAAGAGAAATTAAATCCATCACAAAACTGGGGCAGGGAAAGCAAAGCTGTGGTGGAAATGAATTTGACCTCTGGTTTCTACCGTCAAACTTGGCACTTCCCCCAATACCAAAATAGGACTAGAATCTGAATCTTTGAACTTTTGTTGTGTTGCATATATGATCAGGAGAGGTGGTCCAGGTCATTTGCCTAGTTGACTAAGTTTTTTCTAGGCTGACAGCTTATCCATGGCTATTGATTTTTGTGTCTTTGGTGCCAGTAATGCGTGGAATCTTTTATATGAAGTGTTTTTCTATTCTTTGTATTGATAGGGAATAGTGAAAATTTAGCTAAAAACTGGTTGAATGTAGACGGGAAGGGTCAGGTAGAGTTATATTCCTAAAGATAGAAAAAGTCTTGGTAAAGAACTGATGGGTTTCATTTCAGTCGATGTGTGATTCTTTTTAACAAATGAAGAAACATTTTATATCACTAAGTTGCTTGAGGCCTGATGGTAGCAATGAGAGCTCCATATACCAACCCTCAAAATACTGCTAGCAACTCACTACTAAAATAATATGTTATAACTTTAGAAATACAAAGGTCCAAGTTCTGTCATGTAAACATCATCTTGCAAAATACATGCATATTCTTTAGGCCTCTCTGGTAACCCTATTATATATTGTATATGATGGCATGATGCTTTTTAAGCTGGGTCTAGTTCTTTGGCAATAAAGAAGACACCTGCTGTCTTAAGGACAGTTTTAAAATTATGTATAATAGGTCATCCGTGCAAACATCTTCTTTCTTCCTACTTCTCACTATTCCAGGGAGGAATAAAAAGGTTTTGGTTTTGGTTTTGTGAGGCAGGGTCTCACTGTAGTGAGCTGTCCTCTCCTGCCTCAACCTCCAGAGTGCTGAGATTACAGGCTGCCCACACCCAATTTAAAATAAACATAGTTGGTTTAACTAATGTCACTGACCTAATGACCTCTCCAGACTTAGCAGGATGTCTTCAGCTATGTTTTTGTACCCTGACAGTCCTTTCCTATATTGACAAAAACATTTTTTAGGTTTCTGAAAGAGCATTTTCAAAGTATGAGAAGTAAGTAAATGCTGAAAATCTTAAAATTTTTATGATTAACTTTACTTTCCTGGAGTAAATTAGGCTGTGGGTACAATTTTATCCATTAAAGTGTGAGTTTATATTTCAACAAATGGATATAATTTTTTATATGGACAAACATTGTGTTATACTGAAAATGGAATTCATAGTTAGACCTATTTCTTCTGAACCGTTACATTTTATTCTTTTGTCAGTTTAATTTTACATGTATTTTTTTATTCCTAGTGTCATTTAGCAAACACAGTGGGGAAAGAGTTTAATAACTTATCACCTATTAAGCAATAGGCTTTATGTAAACAGAAGTTTCAGTTGTTTGGGATACAGGATGCTAGATATTTGGAGAGTAAGTTTGAGCCAAGAGTTTCATTGGTACGTTTTCCTAGTCTTTTGTTTTTAAGTGCATGTAATACTTTTGTTTTTCTGTTTATGACTTCCTTACTATCTTTTTAGGTGTGGCTTTGCAGGTTGAAAGATTGTGTCAAAATGAAGGCTAAAAATTAATGCCTCACAATGTGTTGAAGCTAGTATGTAATAAATGATATGTAGGAAAGGGGTGACTTAACCATAAGGGATATTTTTATTTTACTTAATGTCATATTTATTTGGAAAGCAAAAAACATTTTCTGTTTACATCTGTGATTAGAATTGTCACTCTTTAGGACCTAATGTATTTTTTTAGTGGTTCATTGGCCCTTAATGGAGAAAAATCACCCACTTCAGTATCAAGAAACAAATTTGAGTTTGGTGTATTAACACTAAACAGAAAGGAAAGGAATAATTCATTTCATAAGTTTAATGAATGATTTTCCTATTTCCTATACTTGTCAAACACTGAAGTCCAGCTCTAACAGAGGTACATGTTGACAAACACAAGATCTTTGAAACACTACAGTTTTGCTTTTAATTCACAATACTTTTGTAACTATACAAAAGTATAATTTTATGAGTAATATTTTATAATTTTAGAAGTTTAACTTTTGTAAATTATTGGAAAGATTAAAGTCCCTAGAAATTTGAAAATTGAGTTTGAAACTGAGAAATGACAGTATAAATTTAATATGCTGGTTATATAATTTGGTTAGTCATACCCATCAATTACAAAAGAGAATTTACAGAACATCAATTGGAAATCATGGGCTTAGTTATATTTTAGAACTTCATCTCTTTCTGTAAGCCACAGCACCTTGTAACGTTTGGCATCCTTTCTGTCTGAGGACCTGCTGCCCACCTGCAGAGAGCACAGAGGAAGACAATGAGTAGTAACTGGCCACCAGAGAGTATACTGTTCCTGTGTATCTTAGTAACTTCAGGCTGCTGTAACAAAATATCATAAATGGGGTGACTTATAAGCAACCTAGGATTCTGGGGGCTCCGAAGTCCAAGGTAGAGATATTGGCAGATTCAGTGTCTTCCTCTCACTGTGTCCATAGAAGGCAGAGAAAGCTCTCCCCAAGCTCTTATGGACACTAAACCCACTTCATGAAGGCTCGGCTTTTGTGGCTAATCCTTACTTATCATCTTCCGAAGACACTGACCCTAATATCATCACATTAAGAGTTAGATTTCTGCATGAATTTTGGGGTACAGGCACTCAGTCCGTAACACAGACCTAAGCAGATGGGGTAATATTTACAGTTTGCCTAAGACTCTTGTTTCTTTACTTTACTGTAGTTCTTTTCTACTCCACTAGACCACATTGCAAGCTGTTATTAATGATTTACTACTATATTAAAAGATTTTCAAGTGTGTTAAACTTTTTCTCCAGTAAGCTGTCTAACTAAAAATAGTTTGTTTTCCAGGTAAGTTTCTTTTACTTGAACACCAGATAGTCTGTTCTATTAAATTATCTCAAGTCATTGAAAACCGGAGATTTCTAAGTAGCTGAACACGAACTTATACCATACTTAGTAGGATCAAAATAACCTGCTTAAAATCTAGTTTTTTTCCAGCAGTACAGTTCTTAGGTACTTACTCAACTTGTAATCAGATAGTTGATTTTTACTACAAAGTAATCTTTGAAAGGGAAAATACTAACATCAACATTATTTGCTTATTTTTCTAAGCATGATGAATCTAGAGAAATTCAGTCTTGAAAAGTTGTATATAATCAGAAATTGAAGTCATTAGTCTTATTTATTTCGGTATTTGTTTTTGGAGGCAGGACCTTGCTGTGTAGCTCAGGCTGACCTTGAACTCAAAGCAGTCCTCCTGCCTCAGGCGTCCAGTGCTGTGTCATTAATTATTAAAATCAAAAGACAACTTTAGATTTGGATCGGCTCTTGGAATGACCACACTTCAAGATTATTAAACTCAGAAGAAATTTGGTAAATGAAAGACATTGTATCTAAGAAAACACCTATAATAGAGCTACCTATGAAGAACTGTTTGGGGCAGGAGGACTGATCCTGGGGCTTTCACATTGCGGGTACCAGCCTTTTTGCATTGCTTATTTTGAGATAAGTTGTCGCTGAGTTGCCCACGCTGGACTCAAACTTATCTCGCCTCAGCCTCCCACGGTGCTGGGGTGACAGGTGTGTGCCACCATGCCCAACTCGCTACAATAAGTATGTTTTCTAACATCAGAGGGGCAAAGGGCAAGAGCTTTTATCAATGAAACAAGAACCATAAAACTGACAATTGTGAAAGCACAAGCACAATTCTTAGAAAAGAAAAAATAAGCAATAGTCCTTTATTTGCAATCTTGTTTCTTTACAGTTCCATTGCTCAAGGTCAGCTAAGGTCCAAAAGTATTAGATAGAAAATTCCAGAAATAAAAATTCAGAAGTTTTAAATTGTACCCATTTCAAGTAGTGTGATCAAACTGTGAAAGAGTTTTCTGGCACAATAGAGAAGCAAAAGAAAAGAGAAATAGAAAGTGTTTTTTTTATTTGAGGATGCAGAGAGGAGTCCACAGTTTGCAGGGATTTGGCTTTCTCCTCTGAGGGCAGAGGACTGTATGACCTTCGGTTGGAAGTAATGCCTGGCGCAGGCATTGATGACCAGCTAGGAACTGATTGGAATTTTCTTTCCCATGCAAACAGGAAAGAAGGTAACAATTTGGGACAATTTGGGCCGAAGGGGAAGAAGGAGCGAGTGGCCGTCAAGGAAAGTGTTCCCACTTTGCCTTCTGCCACGTTAGACCACCACCGTGATTGTACAGAAATTTATACTAGGGCAAGAACCTTTCAGAAACCTTGTGCCCTCCCACTCAAAGTGGGATCGTCCTTTTGTCCAGCTTATCCACTCTGTGAACTCTGCTTGTTAATAACTGAGTTAGCTGTCTTGCTTACAAGTTTGGCTATCATGGTATCTCAGTGGTCATGTTCAAATAACCCTTATTTCATGTGGCAAACCTGTGGCATACATATTAGATATTTATGTGTGAGTTGTTTTTCTAAACTAAAATTTCAGGTTTAATTGCAGTGTTGACAGTTTGCAACAAATAAATGGGTTTGGGTTACATTTTGGTCCATCAGTCTCCAAAAAGTTTACCATTGCCACTTTATTTTCTTCAGTAATGGCTCCAAAACACAAGAGTAGTGCTGCTGGCAATTTGAATATGCCAAAGGGAGGCCACAAAACACTTCCTGTAAGTGAAAAGGTGAAAGTTCTAGCCTTCATAAGGAAAGAAAAAAGTGTAGTGTGCCCCATTTGCTAAGATTGACGCTAAATGAATTTTTCTGCTGTCACATCTCAAATTATGAAAAGAATAGCTACAGAGAGTAAGTGCTTATAGGATTCAATGCTAACATCTACTTCAGACGTATGCTGGGAAGTCTTAGGATGTATCTCCAAAGAAAAGGGAATTACTCTAATGACGGACTTTGAACTCAGTAAATGGACTGAATGGTATGAACATTACCGAAGGATAATTCATGTGTAGAGATCTTGCTGAGGCATTTAGGAATACTGCACACAAAAATGTTTTCTAAAACTGAGATATAGTATAGTCCCTGAAGTTCTAACTACTGAGAGCAGCTCTAGGAAAAAAATGTAGAATAAAAAGTAATGAATAAAATAATTGTGGCTGAATTTTCCCACATTTAAAGAGCTCTCCAAAATAATGACATTTTGATATATTATAGAATGTTAGTAAAGATAAACAGAAAAAAATGCTAGAGCACCTGAGAAAATAAAAGTAAAACCAAAAATGGGTCACCCACAAAGGAATATTAATATTGGCTTTACTAAGATCATGGAGCAGCATCTTCCTACTGCTAAGGAAAATAATGCCAACCTTGAATTTTATACCCAGCTAACATGATTCAGGGTTGTGGTGACAAAATAAAAAGTTGGGTATGGAAATAAAGAACTTGAAGATTAACAACTGTGAGTCCTTGCTGAAAGAACTTTTAAAGGACATAGCTCAAGAAAAAGAACTTTAAAAGAAACAACAAAAACTATGGCAAAGAAATTGATAAAAAAAATTGACAAATCTGGCCAAGTATTGACTGAAAATAAATTTTTTATGATCAGTATTGGGAGAAATCAAGGTTAATTCTAGAAAATGATATAAAGACAGAATGGAACACTGTTACATATTTGGGAATGAAAGCAGATTGAAGGGGCAGCTACTAGCAAAACAGAAATAGCACAACTTAGAACAGTACAGGGGAATGGAACGAAAGGGTAGCGATGCAAACAAATTGGCAGAACTGAAAGGAAAAAACATAGTGAGATACTATCATAATGGAAAGCACAACTCTAAATGTATTGCCACTCAAGTTGTGCCCAGTTTATAAGTTACACTTAAAAACATACCAGTCAGTTAAAAGTAAAAACCGCACCAGGCAAATCCATCACTTCTCATCTGACTACTGCCCTGGGGTTCCAGACTGTTACGTTTCCACTCCTGGCCTCAGCACTCTTGCACCACCTGGCCAACATTTTTGGGGTTTCTTAAAGCATGAATCAAGTTGCGTGACTTCCCTTTGTTCAAAACCTACCATATCTGATACAAAATTCAAAATTGTGAACAGGCCTTTGTGATCCGGCCCTGCCAGGCTGTTGCTGTGACCTGTTGTCTGCCCTGTTAACTGCCATGTTTCCATCCAGTCTCTGATCTACACTTTTCCCTCTCACTCATTTTGTTCAGGTCGCTGTTCGGGTATCATCTCATAGAACACTTTCTTAGCCACCCTGTCCAGAGAATCACCTCCATCATCATCTGATTGCCTTCATCTTTTCCTCACAGCACTTAATGGCATAAGAGAAGTACATTTGTTTCCTCATTAGAACAAAAGCTCAGGTCAACAGATATAGATCTTATTTACACTACATTTCCTGGAGTGGTACCCAGCATATAATTGGTATTCATATTTGTCAACCAGGTATTTCATGTGTATATAACAATGCCAGTCTGTTTTAAAGAGGAGGAAGCAAATAACTGGCCCAAGTGTCTACACCAGTAAATGAGGGAGCTGGAGTTGAGCACTACAAAGGCAAAGCTGGCAGGCAGTGTTGATAACCAGATGAAATAAAGTTTCAAGGCAAAATGAATTCAATGAACAAGGAAAAATTTTTCATATGAATTAAGGAACATTTCAAGAAGTTTTAGGAGTCAGGAACTAGAATGTATTTGCAGTATAGCTTCTGTATATTGAAAGGAAAAATTGACGGAACCCTAAAGAAATGAAGGAAAACCATGTTATGGTAGGAGACTTACCACCAGTAAGAAGGCAAAAATAATGAAACTACAAAAAGAGTTGAATTGCTTAGTCTACAAGTCAAGTGTATATTCTTTTAGTGCATATAAAATATGAACAGGCTGTGCCCTTGGCTATAAAGGAACAAAGTTATGCAGAATGGATGTTTAACAACCAGTGTAGAATTACTGCACTGAGTTTTTCCACTTTGATCGGGGCTGGATTTTGTAGCTTTAAAAATAATTCCCTATTCTTACCATGCGAGTTTGGGTAAGAGTCTAGTAGTCCACTTTTTTCCCATTTTGTTTTTCTTTGTTCACTAGCTTGTTTGCTAATTTGTTTTCCTGAGACAGAGCTCACTATTGTAGCCGAGGTTGGCCTCAGACTTGCAGTTCTCCTGGTTCACAGCCCTGTGTTTGCAGTTGTGGGCATGTGCCACCATACTTGGTTGTTTCCTTGTACTTTAAAAGTGTTTTGGGACTGGAAATGTAGCTCAGCAGTAGAGCGTTTGCCAAGCAAACACAAACCTTTGGGTACAAGGTTCAGCCGCAGATGTATGTGTGCAGGATAAGGAGGAAGGGCTTGGGAAAATGGCAGTTCTGCCTGCGGGTTACCAGATCTAACCGGAAGACAAAGACTAACAGTGCTTCCTTTGTCTATTAATACATTAAACCCAAGCATACCACCATGGAATTTAGCATCCCTGTAATCTGAATTCTTTCCAGCCTTGTCTCTGGATTAAAAAGCCCTGTTTCTCCAACCTGAAGCTTCCTCCTTCTGCCCTCTTTACACATAAATTTATAGTCCACCTGAAGCTGCCTTTCCCCAAAAAAGCTGCTGTCGTATTTCCTTAACACTCTGTCTGTCTGTCTGTCTGTCTGTCTGTCTCTCTCTCTCTCCCTCCCTCCCTCCCTCCCTCTCTCCTTTCTTCCTATATTATTTGTAAAGTATTGCTCTTATTTTGGTATTCTAATCATGTAGTGCTTATTTTTGGACTTGTTTTTTGAAACAGTGTCTTGCTATGTAGCATACACTGGCCTTGAATTCACTATTTAATTCAAACTGTTCTCTAATTTGCTGTGATCCTCTTGCCTCCTAAGTGCTTGGATTGTAAGTGTGTGTCACCATGCCTGGTCTTGGACTTATTATTTGTTTAATTATAGTATTGTCTAACATTGGTTTGTCTTATCTGCTTCACTGTACTGTAAGCTCCTTTAAGATTGTATTATTTTTCTGGAGACCACATAGCATGTATTGTAACTTCTAAGTAATACCTTTGCAGAATGCGTAGATAAAAATGTGTTCATTGTGTCTTGTTTAATGTGTTTATTTACTTAGTTTTTCTCTGTTTTTTCAGGTTAGAGTGTTTATATCTTGGAGGGAACTTTATCAAAGAAATTCCACCAGAATTAGCAAATCTGCCTTCTCTGAATTACTTGGTGTTATGTGACAACAAAATTCAAAGTGTGCCTCCTCAACTTTCACAGTGAGTAGCTTTAGTTTATATGTACATAGAAATCCATGTTTAGGAATTATTGTCTCACATTCACTTACCTGTTCTACTTATAGAATTAAATGCACTTGTAGTAAAATTATATGATAATTTTAGCTCTGAGATTTGCTGTGGATTAGATTATTTTAAATTTTGCTTTTCAAATGCTTTGGTTTATTCTTCAAAATACTCGTTCGGCTTGTTTTCTGTAATGAAAACAGTTAATTTGTCACAGACTTTCCTGGATTTTGTAGGATTTTCAGTGATTTTATATTTGACATGAAGCACTCTTACATGGGTTTCTAAAGGATTTTCATTCCTATTGCATCTGAAATCTTTCTTGGTTTAGCTATCTGAATAATAAAATATGTTCCTCAAAATATTTACCTTCAGAATTAATCTCTTGTAAGACATCAGCATGCTTTCCTAAAAATCCAAGGGCAGAAGTCTCTTGTGGCACTTACATACTGCCCTACAGTCTAGGTAACTTCTTAATTTCATTACTAATCTTGGCTGCCGATTCTTTTTTTACTTTTTATTTTTTAAATTTTTTTAGACTAGTCAAGTGCAGTAGTGAGAAGGGGGGAAAGAGTAGAACAAGGAGTTCAGTCTGTACTGACTGTGAACAATCAATTGAGATAACTCACTACCTTCGGACCAGCCTGGCTGCCGATTCTTACAGAGAAATTGACTGTTCGTATGTGCCTGTGTATGTCTGCACACGTGAACATGCACATGTGTGAACTTTCTAGTAGTTACATTGTTCACGGCCGTTGATTTTTGTGCTGCATTCATTCTAGGTTGCATTCACTTCGTTCTCTCAGTCTCCACAATAACTTGCTGACATACCTGCCCCGAGAGATCCTCAACCTAATTCATTTGGAAGAGTTGAGCTTACGAGGAAATCCACTGGTTGTTCGTTTTGTTAGAGATTTAACCTATAACCCTCCAACTCTCCTGGAATTAGCTGCACGGACCATTAAGATGCGAAATATTTCTTACACTCCATATGATCTTCCTGGGAATCTTCTTAAATATTTGAGTTCAGCCAGCAATTGCCCAAACCCAAAGTGTGGTGGTAAGTAAATTTATTGTTCATGTTTCCTAAGGCTTTTAGAAGAGGTCTGGTTCAAAATAACCAGCACTCATAAGTTAAATTGAAGAGTTATTTCAGCTCATAGATCATAGATGTTTAGTCCATAGGTAACTGTCCTTAGGGTGGGGCAGCGTGGCAGAGGGCATAGTAGTGGAGAAACAGTCCATGGCAGAGCAGGGAGCAAGCAGTGAACCTACTTTCTGTCCCTTTTCTAATGTGGGCCTCTATAACAATTCTCAAGCCAGGCATGGTTGTGCATGCTCTAATACAAGTAGGCTCCATGGCAGAAGGATTGCCATGGGTTTGAGGACAACCTGGGCTACATAGTGAGTTCAAGGCCAGCCTGAACTACATAGTAAGATCCTGTCTCAAAAAAACAAGCAAACAAAAACTTCTTTAATGCACAGAAGTCTGTGAAATGCTTGGAAAATATCTAGTTTAAAATTAGAGAAGAGTTAGTAAACAGTACCCCTTCCCCAGATTACCTGTTGATATTTTACACATTACAAGAGAGTTTTGTACTATTTGAGCTTGTAGTAATTATATTTTAATTTAAAGTAATACACTGTTCCTGGAAGATTCAGTGGTATCAGGGGAAAAAAAAGAAATCTTATTTCTCGTTTGTTGCTGGACCATGGCTTTTTGATTTTGGTCCATATGTGATAAACACACAGTAAGTAGTTGGAAAACTTAGGTAGAGTCTAATGGTTGAGATTCCTCTCCTGAGAGACTGGTACTAGAGTTCTGTTACATTCCCGTCACACTACAATCATCGGGACAGTGTGTTACAGATGTGTGTTATCTTTCTAAGGATCAACCTTTGCTTTCCTCTCACCTCTCTCACATTTCTACCTACCTGAGGGGCCACAGTTAAGAGTGCTACATTAGGAACCCAAAATGCCAAATGCTAGTTTCAGTCTACCACAGATTATATAATTGTGTGAAAGTCAAGTGAGATCACCAGTGCATCTGCTTTCTGCCTTCTTCCTGCAGACCGTGTATAATAAATGATTCCTCAAGGTCATTCCAAAAGGAGGCATTTCTTTTGTTTAGTCTTCTGACTGTCGTAGTACTGAGAGGGTGGCGTGGGCATGGAAGAAGGATACTTCAAGTATCTTGTAATTCCCACCAGCCACTGTCCTCCCAGCTCAGCAGAAGAGAAGATGCTGAGTAGATAGTATCCTTCTGAGCCAGTTCCTTTAGGTTAAATTTCCTTGCCTTTTCTTTGCAGCCAAGATGCCACATCTAAGACCTTCCAGTATTTCTATAAACAGCTGTACAGATGTGAATACTATGCGCTTCAGCTTAAGTTCACAAAAACTGTGTATGATATTTCTGCAGAATTCTGGAGAAAGAATTGAAAAAGAAACTAATGTCTTGCTTTGTAATGATTATTTTATATTCCTTCTCTTTAGGAGTCTACTTTGACTGTTGTGTCAGACAGATTAAATTTGTGGACTTCTGTGGGAAGTACCGCCTCCCGCTGATGCATTACTTATGTTCGCCAGAATGCTCTTCCCCATGCAGCTCTGCCTCTCACAGCTCCACGTCCCAGAGTGAGTCTGACTCAGAAGATGAGGCTGGCATTGCTGCGCACAGGATGCAGAAAGTTCTTCTCGGCTGAACAGAAGTGCAGAGTGTCGGGAAATACTAAAAAACCTTAGAGGTTATGAAAGAACATAGAACCTGATGTTGGTTACCTTTGTTTTGAGTGTCCATGTAAGAGTGGGTTACATTAAGGTTCATCTGCCATTTAGTAGGAATAAATTCATTTTCCATTTCTTTTACTATAACTCACTCTGAATGGCAGTTGTTGGCTGTATGCAGTTTCACTCAGTTTTTACATGAATCACCCAGCAGAGTGGTACATTCTGAACACTGTTGTATTAGGCCTGTAATTTTCAGTGATGGAAAGGAAGAAAAAATGATCAAAGCTGTAATTATTGATAGGTTGTCATTGAGTTTTGATTGAAAGCTATATCATAATAGGATTAACTCTTCATATAATTCCCATTTGTTTAGATTCAGACCTCTTCGTATGTACTTACAGATGGTTACATAGAACCTAAGCCTTTCTGACCAACCAAGTGGTAAAGTAAGGAATGTAACTTGTACGTGGAATATTTAACTTTTCTGTTCCTTGTTTATATGATTGTTAATAACTTTATCCAGCAGTGACTGGAGCAGTGCCTTAATGTTAGCAAAGTTATAGAAACTTACTCAAGAAAAAGTGCTTGTGCCAGGTGTGGTGGTGCACGTTTGAAAGCCCAGCACTTGGGAGGCTGAGGCAGGAGGAGGATTGCTGTGAGTTCAAGGCCAGCCTGAATTGCACAGTGAAACTGTGTCTCAAAAAGACCAAAGAAAAAAACCAGTGCCAGAGCATGTACAAACCAGCTTGCAAAACACTTCTTTTCTTTTCCTTTTTTTTTTTTTTTTTGGTGCGAAGGATTGAACTCATGACCTCGCGCTTGCCAGGCAGGCGCTTAAGCCACTGAACTAAATCCTCAGTGTGCAAAACACTTTCAAATGTATGTCGACAGAACTAGTACTAGGTTATCACCTATTTGACATCTAGGTTCATGGCCATCATAATTTCATGTTTTTGCTTAAATAGTGATTCCTTGTGAACAAATTACTTTTATACTTAATGGGAGGCCACAGTCTTGAACAATCTGTTCATCATAAAATAGAACATTAGTTTTTAACAGAAAATTCTATAAGTTATAGCTAGGAAAGCTTCTTTATATCTTGCTCTAAATGGGGAAAAAGTTTAGAATTTTTAATAATCAAATGTGACTCCTGTAATTATGTACTAAATGTGACTTTCCCTATACTTCAGAAGAAAATAATTAACAAGAAAAACATTACAGTGGAACAAATAAGTTGGAAACAGGGATTTTGTGTTTATGTACAATAGAACAGTTTCCAAAACTACTTTAATTATGCATGACTTTTTGAAAATAAAATACTGATAAATAGAAAAAAATGTATTACACGTAGGGGAAAAGGATTCACAGATTTTTGCCATTAGAAATTATCAAATTTTTGGCCAGATGTGGTGGTGCATGCCTATAATCCCAGCACTCAGGTAGTTGAGGCAGGAAGATTGCTATGAGTTCAGAGTCCGCCTGGGCTCAGCCTGAACTACATAGCAAGCCCCTATCTCAAGGCCTTCTCCCACCAAAAAAGAAATTATTAAGTGGTTATTAAATATTTTAATATAGACTAAAGATTTAATAATAGTTCAACTTAATAAATTTCTGTTATAAAGTACACATTAGTAATCAACCCATAATATGATGGCTAATCAGTAAATGTTACATATACAGTAATATACAGATCAGATTGCATTAGAGCATCGGGTGTTATCATTTAAAGGGAACACTATTTCTTAAAAGCCAATTGTATAATACTGGTATATATGTATGTTAAGTTTTCTCATATAATTTTTATTGTAGAAGAAAATATGGTATAGATTAATTCAGGATTTGTGTGTTTATTTGTGTGTAAATTCATGAAACATCATGAGAGTTTCATGACTGCAATTGTGAAACGCTGCTATAGTGAATCCCTTCACCTTTACCTTGTTATAATGTAGTAAGATTTATTTTTTTCTTTTGATTCAGAAATTTTCTGCCTATATCTATAGAAATAGTCTAATGTATATCTGTGTTTAACAGTAATAATGCGGGCGATTATATCATATAATAGAAGTAATAAAGTTTTTGCTTCTTCAGTTGGGCCACAGTAAGCCGGAGACTACACACTAAGTGACTTAGTTAAGATACATAAAATATTTTCTTGGAAAATAATTTATAGCAGAAACATAGGACCAGATTTCTCTGGCTGACATGTGCCTCTACTTCACTGACCATCAGCTTAACCTAAGTAATTCTTAGAAGAATTAGTCTTTGTAAGTTAACTAGGTGTGTAAATAGAACACTTAACTTTACATAGCCTTTCCAGCTTCCTATAAAGATGGTATACTGCTCTATCTTTTACAGATGTAAATAATTCCAACCAGCCTGTGCCATATAGCGTAGGTACATATTTTGTGTGTAATAACATGTTTATTATGATTGAAAAGTGTATTATCCATATGTATCTATCTTTGTTAATGTTAATGAACTCTACCTTTTAGGTGTTTTATCCTTTTTTAAAAATCTTTTACCTTACCCTTAACAATTTCTGAGATTTTCCTTCTTTTCCTCATCTTCCCTTTTCTCATAAATAGTTATTAACTAGAAGATGAGAGATAAGACACTTCATCATCTAGAAAGAAGATAACCAGTTTCCTAGTCATATAGTAGACTGGGGTGTCTAAAATAGTACTCTGATTTTTCAGTCATGTTTGTGTTTAACCACAATTGTTGAACTTTAATTGGTTTTTTAAAAAACAGATTTGTGCAATAAATTTTTGATATTGTTCCAGTTGGATGACAGAACTGCTATAGAAAAATTGCCTTAAGTAAAGCATTAATTTGTGCAGAATGGAATTCTTCAGTCCTAGTGTTTGAAATTGGAATGAGTGTACCTTGTGTATTCTTAGTAGTAGTCTTTACGCCTGGAATCAGTTCTGTCTGCATAACCATAACTGCATAACCAAACTAAGTCCGAGAGATAGTCCTAGGACTTGAGAAATAGGAAAACTAGCTTACATGAAATTCTGACTCCATGGTTTCAGGAACTGACCGACATTCATTAAGGACCAGCTTGTCAGAGTTTTCAGTGTTCTTTGTATTTGAGTAGTAGAGATTGTTTATATTTTACTTCTAAATGTATATAGAAGTGTGTGTTATTCTAGTTTTTCGTTTGTGTTTTGAGACAAGGTCTCCCTCTGCAGTCCAGGCTGGTCTTGAACTTATTATGTAGCCCAGGCTGGTCTCAAGCTTGCAGTGATCTTCCTGCATCAGCTTTGTGAGTGCTGGGATTACAGGCATGTGGCACCATGCCTGATTTAAAATTACTGATACTTAGGATTTTAAGGCACCCGACTTGAAAGGAAAGGTTGGCATTTTAAACTGCCCTTCAAATTTGGGAAATTTTTGTTAATATAAATAAAGGCAGCCCACAATGTATGACTTGAATACTGAAAACTAATTATATTCAATATTGTAAATATTAAGTTCAAATAATAGAAAGAACCAGCTGTTTTCTAAAAGTGGTAAATCTTTTTTCTTTTTGGGGGAGTGTACCAGAGATTGAACTCATGACCTCATGTCAGGCAGGCACTTATGCCTCTGAGGTAAATTCCCAACAATAAAGAAAATCTTTAAAAGCAACAAATACAGGAAAGGAAAGTCAACAGCCACCTAGGGATACCCCTGAGTCAGGAAATCCCTTTATAGTAATATGAGTTGTTTAAAAAATGAAGTAAGTAAGTGGCCAACTACCTTCCAAAACCTGTTATCACTAAATGTGTTCAGTGCTTGCTATTGAGGGTGTCCACACCCTCCGGTAATGGAGGGCTGGTAAGTAATAGGATTTTCTCACAGCCAACCTTGCTTTTCCCAAAGGGAGGAAATAGTAACCCAGAGCTTAGGTTCAACAAGTAAGCCTTAGTTAATGTTTACCTGTTCATTATCCTAAAAGAAAGAAAACAAGCAAATAGTCCAAATAAAGTTTGATCTTTGAAAGCATTTTAGCAGTAGTGATTTACATATAGAAAATAATGGTATTTTAAATCTTCATATAGCTCATTATAAAAAAAATATCAATTACAGTATGTATAATTTGTTTAGCTGAATTTAGTTAGAAATACGTATTTTTGCCTAAATAATCCTCTTATACAGAAGTAGAAATTTTACTGTATCCTTATAAATATTACTTCCTGTTTAATCCAAAGTACTACATAGTGAGCTTTTAAGTTTTGCTGGGCATTTAATCGCAATAAAGGCTATTGTATGGGTTTTTAAGCAACACAACCTGTAATAATACATAGTTCTGATTCCTTCTGCATAGAAAAGTCTTCAACTTTCACTTTATATAAAATACTAAATCTTAGTGAATTTCATATCTGTGATTTTGTATTTTCATTATTGTCTTGATTTTTTTTAAAAGATAGCATGCGTTCATTCATGGTCAAAAAAGTGTGTGCCTTAAGTCCTACTAGACCTAAAGTTTGGGGAACTGTTATCATTTAATATGTTATTTTTGACAGCCCTATGATCTTTTGCATATGACATGAGGGGTTGTGATCTTAAGGTGTTCTTTTGCCAGAACAGGACCCAGTGTATGTGCTTCTGGGGAGAGAACTCCAGTTAATTTACTATTGTTACAGGAGGTCAAAACCATAAAGATCGGGGTCCCCTGAAATAAAATCCATGAAAAGATATATTTTCTTATATATTATTTTGTTTTAGGAAACTTGGTGACACCAAAGGTAACAAGCAGGCCCTAAGCGTCTTCATATTTATAGCATTATATGAAGATTCTGTTACATGAGGCCTAGCAAGTTTTTGCTACCATTTTTCTTTATAACATAAGTCAAAAGGGGTGAGGGTTAGTGGCTCTATTCTTTTTATATTTTTCTTGATCCATATTTTCTAAGAATAGATGTTAAAATAGCTCACTAACAGTACACATTATTTGAACACTCACAGGATAGTATCAGTTTAGGTGCTACCAGACTTTTATTTAGCATTGATAAGTCTCAGTAATGCGTGTAAGGGACAGTATTCAATATAGTGTGCATTAAATCTATTAGTTAACTGAACAGTATTTTTATACTGTCATGCCAGAAAGCCAGGGAAGAAAGGTCATCTGCATTGAGCGGAATATATTTTGTACCTTTGGCTGTGAATAGAATTGGATAAAATTGTTTTATTCAAAATTCCAGCTAAAGGAAGAAACTAAGATAAGGTTCACATTACTGTTGCCAGTATTGCAAAAACACTACTCAACTGATTGTGTTTGCAATTGATATTTGAGAATTCTGTGACTAATTTTAATATTTGTTAACATTGATGTGTGGTGAGAAACGACTATTAACTTTCACAGTCATGTTGTGGCAATCATGTAGAGACTTGAAGTTGTGTTCCGAACTCAGTTTGTATTCATAAGAAACAAAAACAAAATGGGAGAAAATTTTAAACCATTAAGTATTTTGACTTTTCATAAAGTTTGAGACTTCGAAGTATCAACGAAGAATACTGAAAATATATTGACTTCTTATTACTATGTATGATCTGGTATTTTAATTTTCTGTGTGAATTAAGTATCTTTAAAGATATAGTTAACTAAAAGTTAATAGTAAAAGGAATAAATGGTATGATTCAACAATTAAACTTTTATTTTCTAAATATAGTTTATTGTATCAAATTTATATATTACCTTATAATGGTAAATGCTCTAAAAAGAATATTTAAGCAACTTCAATTGTAGTACTTCTCCATCACACCCCAGGACGTAACAGAACATTGTAATCTTATATGAACCTTGTGTGTATGTTTTGCCTTATTACACATTGTGCCTTATTTTATTAAACCATTTTGTTGAAATCCAATTCTGTATTTTGCAGAAGTAACAGTGTTTTCTTCTTAATTAACAATTGATTTTTTTAAAAAGTCTAAAATCCTCATGTTTATATTTGCCTGTTACTTATACGTCATTGTTATCTGTTTATTGAATTTATTGAATACACGAGTCTGTAAAAGAAGTACATGTTTCAGGCTGTATTCTCTGTGCTAAATGCAAGGCATAAAATATAAATAAGACCAGCGTCTTGTCTACCCGACCTCCCTTCTGCTCTCACAGTCTCAACAAGGCTAGTGCTGCCACGCTCTCATAAGAAATTGGTGAGATTATCTTGTTAATAACTAAGGTCAGTTATTTCCGTAGGTCAAAGCACCCAGACCTAACTGGGAGTCCACTGTGTCAAAAAGAGTGATACTGCAACACTTTACATTGTTGTTACTTAGTGCCACTATTTTGATGACTTTAGAACATTTAACATTTTTCTGGAATGCAGAATGTGAAACTGTATATTGTGACTGGTTAGAGTTGTGTAAGTGAAGTAGACAGGATGAACACCTTTGCAAAACCGCTACTGTTTTGAATTTCCTGAGATAGAAAAATCTCTGCACTTCCCTGGTTAATACATAGGAAGACTTTTTAGTGAGGATGACTGCATGACGTGGACAGATGAGAAAAAACATTGAGTATGATTCTGGTCTTTTACCTTCCTGAGGATGAAACTGTGATCTTCCCTATCCTTAGTACTAGGGTGGAAGAAAATTTTATTTAGGAACTAACTTTGTGGATCGCAAATAGAAAACCAAACCATTCTAGGGAATGTATGAGACTTGGAAAGTCTCATCCGTCATGCCAGTCACTTCCAACTTCATAAGCATTTTGTCTGCATTCTCCTGAGCATTTGACCTAACAGAAACCTTAGAAGTCTGAAATTCACTGATTTCAGATGAAGAGTAAAGATATCTTTAGAGAGACACATTCAAGACCTCCAGATGGCCAGATAGAGTTCAACCTTTCTGCCAATAGCAACAAGATCAACAACAGTGAAGTCAAAGACAAATTGGATATTGACATACTATAAAAATAAAAGCCACAACTATACCACTCTTAACCATAGGAAAGTCTATAATCACAGACACAAAGATAAGCCAAATGTTGATACACTGTAGATGCCCACTAAACAACACCCATCATTAATAAGAGAATTCAACAGTAATAGCAAATAGGTAACAAGATGTGAAGATTAATAAAGTTAATACTAGTATATAGGAATTGGGGTAGATCATGTATGGGTATAAGTTCCTTATTACTGTGATCAGAATAAACAATACTAGTAGAAGTAAAATTTGAAAAGGATGAGGAAGGAAAGTGCAATAAAGGATCCTACTAAGGGTAAAGAAAAACTAGTAGAATTAGATAAAACGTAACAACAAAAAAAAGTAAAAGAAAAATCCGTAAGGGGAAGACCCTTGAAACAAAAAACGTTTTTGAATATTTGAACCAGTGGTGTCGTCCTTGGTCTGCCATATTGGATCCACCAGATGTGCAGGACGGATCCTGAGTCCTGAGGAAGACTTCTTTTACTTCCTTACATTTTGTGCATGGTGAACCCTGCCCCACCTTTCCTGCCCATCACATTGGTGAATGGCTTTCTTTGCAGAGCTGCAGGCACTTCTGGTAGTGTCCAGCGTCAGTTCCTGTGTGTCCCAAGTCCTGGCTTTCTCTGCCTTATGTCAACAACAATAGTTTACATCTGGCATAAAGCCAAGTGGCTTTTTGGTAGAACGAATGTTCCAATACCTCATTTACATAAGGTGACGGACCCTTCAGGTACTTTAGATATGAAAGACCCTTTTTGCTGTATTCTCAAGGCAGTTATGAGTCCCATGCTCACCCTTTTCTGCTTTCAAGAATTGTATACTCTTGCTGCCTTTTCTGTGTGTCTTGTCATAGTTTTTGTTCAGGACATCGAGAACTTGGAAAGAAGCTCTACAAGACTCCCTACCCCCAATCCGTAGCTCACCAATGTTCTGTCCTTTGTTTCCTGAACTGCAGGAATTCTCTGGGTGTGTCTTAATTATTTTTCTTGTTGCTGAAACAAAATATCCACGGCCCAAAGTAAAAAGAAGAGAAAGTTTATTTAGTTCACAGTTTGTGGAGGTTTCAGTCCATAATTGGCTGGCTCCCAGACCTGGTGGCACATGGCGGAGAGCAGCAGTTCCTGGCAGTGGAAGGCAGCAAAAGCAACAGGAAGCAGATTCCTCTCTCTGTCCTTACATTGTATCTAGTCTGCCGAGATTAGGGCATTGCCAATCCAGCTAGTGGATTAATCCAGCAACCATCCACCCTTAATCTCAGTATTACACTACAAATTAGTTACACGCTCCAGATTGAGCCACCTCCGAAAAACCCTATGAGGCTTTCAGAGGACATCTGAACATAAGCCCTAGGTTGTAAGTATATTCAAATAACTTGTCTATATTGATTATGTCAAGAGCAACTAAGTCATAGTAAATGCTGAGGCTTTGACCAAAACATTCATGAAAGGATGCCTTGGTTTAGGTTGTCATCAGAAGGCCAGATACCTTGATGAAAACCCTGTCAAATAATACACTGTTTATTTTGACTGAGGGAGACACACACATGGCTAACATAAGCAACAGTGATAAATAATATAACAGTCTCAAGAAGGACAAGAAAAAATTGTGCCTGGAGAATGAATGATAGTTGACCTATAAACATGGGTATCCACAAAGATTTCTACTTAACTACAAATCTTTAAAAGAACTATGCCTGTTTTCTATCTTAGTTTCTTTTATATTTAGGTATGAGATTATGTGATTCTTTTCCATCTTAAATCTGAATAATAATCCAATCTTAAAATCTATAAATATGTGAATTTAATAGGAACAATAACTTGTTTATGATCTAAACTCTAAGAGAAAATATTCTTAAACCATTATTTTGGAGAAATTTTTCCAACTAAAACTGAGTTTCAAATGTTGCTTTGGGAGTTTTAAGAGCTAAACTAAAGGTATATGAGGTAAATTTAATTTCTTGGAAGTTAAGCTTACTTTACAGTGGACTTTATAATGGGGATGCTTCTACAATTTTAGGATTTTTGTTTTTAATTTTAAGCCTTTTGTAAACTGACAATGATGTCTTAAGGTTCTTCCTAATTGTAAGAGTCGACAATTATCTGTGCTTAAAAACTCATTTCTGTTTTTGTAGCTCTCAAATATTTGTAAACTCTTGTATCATTCACCACACCCTTTTAGGCCTCTATTTAGGTCTTTTAATCCTTCCTCCTAAAATACAAATGTAGCCAGAGGCAGAGGTAGGGGGATAATAAGAACTTTACCGCTAAGCTGCAATTAAAAGTCTACCCTTTATGTCACTTCCAAAGAGTTGGTATAATGGATGACAGATGTCAGTGAACAGCTTTGAAACAGTTTTAGTTTTTCATTTCTGCTGAGAGCAGCATCTCATAAAAAAGAAAGATGTGTAAGAGACCCATAAGTAAGAATGAATCAGATGATTACTAAATCCCTATGACTTAAACTGTGGCATAATTGAAATTTCATGTTCGACCTTGACCTGTTAAAGGAATTTCTCTCTAGTTCTAAGCAATTGCAGAATTAAAGGTTTATCAGCAAATGATTGACAGAACATCACCACTTTATGTAACAGGGCAACTCAACCATCAGACTAAGATGTTTTGTTTTAAATACCTCAGAGGAGACTACTTCGGTAATTCTGAAGTTTAGCCACTGTCCCTGGAGCAAGCATTCTCTAAGGTTCTTTTGATTTACACTAGCCAGGTTAATTATGTAGGCAACTTTTAAATTATTTATGCCAGAGAGAGGCACAATGACATTAATAAAGTTCATAGTCCTCTGAGTGTGTGTGTGTGTTTGTGTACATGGACATGGGTGTCACTCAGTGTATGACTTTTGTACCACTGACTGCACAGTATTGATTTCCTCTCCTCCTTTTTTAATTTATTCTATTTTTTTGGTACCAGGAATCAAACTCAGGATCTTGCACTTGCCTGGTGCTTGCCACTGAGCTATATCTGTGGCCCCCTCTCCTTTCTCCCAACCCAAAACTCCACCTTGCAATAAAATCAGCATACAGAGGAGTCACACTTTCCAAAGTCCCTACCTTCTGAGCATTTGTGCAACACCTGTTAGGAAGAGAAAAGGAGAGAATGCCAAAATCAGAGCTCTATGCACATAAGACATAAATCCAGTAATATAAGGACTGAACATCAAGCTGCAATAAACTGAGAAGACAGACTTCTTGAGAGTGAAGGTCTCAACCTTGGGGATTTAGCTCAATGGCATAGGCACCTGCCTTGCAAGCAGGTGGTCGTGAGTTCGATCCCCGGTTCCGATTAAAAAAAAAAAAAAAAAAAAGCAGTCAGACTACTACAGATACACAAGTTGATATATCCAAAAGGAAAGAAGGATGTGTTACTTTCCACTACGCCTCACCTGGGTGTTCCCATGTTTGCCTCCATGAGGGAGTTTGGTGATTAATACTTGAACCACAGAGATGTATGCATTTGACTCATAAACGACCATATAAATGTAAATTCACATTAATTATTGTAAGCTTATCCCAAAGACAAGACTTATTCCTTTACTCATTCTTTCTTATCCTTATGAACATGCTGCTCATACAATCTATTACACAGAGGCATCCCTATCAATATACTCAGACAAGCCCAAACTCTTACACAGTCCCTTGTACACACCAATCACAAATACCCCACACAAATATACACATATGCACATCCAAAGATGGAAGTTTCCTGGTTGTGCCTAGAAAGCAGAATGTGCCTGTCTTGTTTACCTGCCCTCGTGGCTCAAAGAGGAATGAACACTGATGTGAGGCCCACACGGGGCCCACTGGGTTGTGGGATCACTGTCTTTTTCATTGAGAGATGTGAGGAAAACGCAATCTTAAACAAAGGCCAAGTGGCTGGCCTAACATAGTGCAGATGTCTCATCTTTTCGTAAAAATTCATTTATCATTTTTAGTACATGTCGATGGTATAAAATGTTTACGTTCCTTGCAGTGAGTTGGTCCAGGTACACAACACATCTTAACTCCTTTTTCATCTCCTTTCTCGCCCTTTCCTCCATCTCTTGATCTCTTTCCTTTTTGAGAAAGATCTAT